CCTCATTTAGTTATTAGCATTGTTGGAATGCAATAATCTCGGGTATGTATTAGGGGGAAAAACGAGTCAGAAAGCAAAGGGTGTTAGGATTATCTATAGACATAGAGTGGGGGATGGAAGAACTATTGTGTGTTCAGGGGGTTGTAACTATCACTGTGAGCTTGAGGGTGGAGGAGGTGATGGGAAAGAAGGGAAGCAGATACATAACGCCCCCTGCCTCTCTCAGCCTTTGGCCTTCCGTAAAAGCAGTTTGGTAACTGAAAGTACTTTGGTGCTCTGCTTGGAATAAGAGGGGTGCCTGGAATGTGAGCAGTGAGCAGGAAGCCGGGGAAATGGTGCCATTGCGTTAGTGAAGAGGTTTGTCTTTGCAAAGGCAGAACATGTCTTTACAATGTGATTGCAATTACAAAGGTAACGACATTCTACATGAATTGAATTCTCCTATTTATCTTTTAAAAGACAGCAGAATATAGACATTCTATTAGCACTCCCTAAGGTAAGAGGTCCGCAGTCTTCTTAGCTTGTTGTGTGCATCTTTTCAGATGCCACGGCAATGTTAATCATTTTACCTGAGTAATTCTTCCATTTCTCATTACCTGGGGGATTGTTAATGGCCGAGACTACTTCTCAGACTCTTTGCTCCCGCTCAATCAAGCCTTGGAGGCGCCAGTTTACTTTTATTGATCAGCGGGTTCCTGACAGCCTTCGCCACAAGGAAGCAGCATCATCCTTTTTTAACTTAAAGGGGAACAGATCGCCTTAAAGTTTACAGCTAAGAGCTTCTAAGCATAGCATGCAAACATTTTAGCATGCTGCTAATTGTTCTGTTTAAATAGTCCCAGCAATATTTTAGAAAGCTGCCAAACATGGAACTCACATCCCGTGATCAGATAGCAAACCCATTTCAAATGCCTTTTTAGACCTTTTTAATTAGACCAAGCTGCACTTCATTCCCACTCGCTGACATCAAAGGTAAATAACTATGAGGAATCAAATGGAACCCTTCCTTTAGCAGCCCACGAGGTGCGCTCGCGCTGCCTGCCATGTTGTCATTCTCTTCCACTACTTGCCCATTGCTCTAACGGTGTCTGC